CAGAGGGCTGGCGGAAGGGGAGAAAGCAGGGAGGGTGCTCAGGTTCAGGCAGACTTAACCACAGTTCCCATCAAGATTTCTCTGCCCCCTGCCTGGTAGCATTATGCCAGCTAACCCAGAAGTCCAGCTCTGGGCGAGGAGGGGCTGGATAGAAAAGAATTCAGAGCCTGGGGTTGTACTGGGAAGAGAAGGCCAAAGGCAGTCAGGCACTGTTGGCCTAATTCAGCCCTAGGCTAAACCAGACAGGGAACTCCCAGGATGCAACAACGTGGAATTCCCTGCAGGGGGCTGGGGAAGGGCAAAGGGAGGGCCTTTCCCTCCTGTTTTTCTCAATCATCCAGCATATGGCTGTGGCTGCTGCTTCCCCCAGGCTTTGTGTAAACCTTTCCCACCCCTCTACCAAGTAGCAACTGGCTTTTATGAAGCTACTAGGCTTGCGTGAACTACTTACACATCACAGCGTAACTGCTTTCTGGCTGTTTGAGGTGGTCTGTCCACCTCCACCCTTTCCCCTCCTTCCAAGATATTCTTTTGGCTTGAGTCTCTCTCACATATGCCCCCCACCCTTTTGTTTCCTTAACTTTCCTCCCCTTTTTTGATCACATTCAGCCCTGTTTCTGTTTGTTGCTGAATGCTGTGAAGATGAGCACCTCCAGGTTTTCTCGAGTCTAACCAACTCTTGGCTACTAGAGCAACTCCTTTTACTCCAACTAGCCATGTACATTCAAGGAGCACAAGCCAATATTCAACTAACATTAGTGTGGGTCACAATTAGGCATTTTATCAGGCATTAAAATATGTGGGCAAAAAAGGGGCTCTGTAATAAATCTAGCTAGAAGTAACCCCACAAGGTGATCTGATCATAAATTCCTAATTGGGTGGTCATGTTGGGTAGTCACTCCTCAGGCCTGTAACTCCCAGTAGTAAAAAGCTATCTTTGCCTTAAGCAAGTCCTGTCCATTGTTCTTGTGCATCTAGGACCTAGATTCTAGGTTAAGGCATCTTTGAAATGTCTTTTTCAGACCCCTCGGAGGGGTAATCACCCTCAAGAAAAAACATAGTCTTGTTAACTATCCTTTAATCCAATCCCCACCTTGCTCTCTCCCACCTTCATGTAACCTTCTTTATGTTCCTCCTTAACTCCAAATAAATGTATAAAAGAACTTACAAAACTGTCCATCTCTAGAGCATATGAGATCTGGCATGTAGTCAGCTTGGCTCAAATAAACTCTTACAAAAATTCTTTAGAGGTTTGGACATTCTTATGTCGACAAATACAAAACTTAAATTGTCTGTGCTTCTGAGATTTTCTGTTGCTGTCTTAGCATGAGGCAGCAGAGCATTAAAGAACTGTGAGTCAGAAAACATGAAATATTCCATTCCTGTGGTAAGACCTTAGGCAAGTAATTTAAACCTTTTGGCCTGTTGAGACAGAGAGAGTGAGAGAAAGAGAGAGAGGATATATGAATTAAAATTAAGTCTCATCTGCCTCTAGAATTGTGTAAATCTATAGTAATAAAACCATGTTAGTATCAGAAATGTTATAGACTCCAAGTTCCATAAGGCCGCTTAGTAGCTATGGTGAAAACAAACAAACAAAAGAAAGGCTTGGCGAGTGGCTCAGTTGGTTAGAGCACAAGCTCTGAGCAACAGGGTCGCTGGTTCAATTCCCACATGGGCCAGTAGCTGCACCCAAGCAGAACTGTTGCTGAGCTGGTGAGGGTGAGGGTGTGTGCTCTTAACAACAAGGTTGCCGGTTCGACTCCCGCATGGGATGGTGGACTACGTGTGTGTCTCCTCCCGCAAGAAGATTGAAAGCGGTGGCTGGACTTGGAGCTGAGCTTGCACCCATCACAACTAAGATTGAAGGACAGCAGCTTGACTTGGAGCTGATGGGTCCTGGAAAAACACAATGTTCCCCTCCCCAATTCCCCAATAATCTTAAAAAAAAAAAAAATCTGTCAATCTATACTACAGATGCTATTAACCCAACAGAAAATAAAGGAGAAGGGGCATACTCTAGGAACCAATCATCCCAATCTTACTTTACTTTGGTTTCTAACCAACAGAATTCAAGCACCAGGTAAATTTCTTTATTCTTATTAGTCTGCAGATGCCTTCTACAGGTGATAAAACCATGCAAGGCTGTCAGGCACTTCAGTGTGGTCTTCTGTGAACAGGCTGGCTTTTTATAGTACCAGTTCACTGGGCACCTGGATATCAATGCTCTTTTCTCAGCCTGCCCAACTACACAGCTCAGCATCACCCTTGTCTGGGGAGACTCCTGTGTCATAGCTCTTCGGTGTCTGCTTTTCCTACCCCATTATTCCTTTCTCACACACAAGGAGGTCATTGTTGGCCTTGGGGAGCTAAAAATTACTCATGGAAAAGTTGTTTTCTGACACTCTGACTCCCCAGCTCAAGGACCAAGATGATGGTAAATCTTACACCGAAATAAATCAGGAAACATATTTATGATCTAAGAAAGCAGGAGAATGGCAATTGGCAACTATGCCAATGGTAGAGGTAATAGGATATAGGCATGGCCAGGGTCTGTGGCAACAGAGGCACCTGTCATCTGAAGGGCCGGCTTTCAACTACAGGTCTGAAACCAAGACTGGGAAAGAATCTAAGCATATTAACATTTGATATCTGGTGTTGAAGTTAAAGTAGAATATATGTTGGCCTTTGGGAAGGAAAGCTCTCTGGGAATCAGGAAATAAACAGTAGGGACTATGACAAAGAATTTGGAAATTTGGGAGGAAAGTCTGGATCCTGCTGTTAGGAGCTTCCTAGGTTCCAGCTTATTTGGACTCCTGAGTTTCACTTTGTGAGAGAAACAACTGATCAAAAGCAATCAAGAACAGGATAGAAAGGGGAAAAGAATGATCTGTCTAAATCCTGATTGGTGCATTATCTAAGTGAAAACATAATAGGAATAGCCTCTTTTTAAGGTCAATACTACTACAAAAGTGGTAAAGGAATCTAACTGACAAGAAGTAGGCAGTGCCAAAAGGCAGTCATTAGATACCAGCCATAAGACTGAGCCACATGAAAGCAACTAGGCCCTGCCATCTCAACCAGATCTCTTTTTGACATCAAGAGGTGACCAGAGGAAATGGACAGTAGTTGAGTTACATGTTCATAGCCTCTAGGGATACAATAACACATTGCTCTCCATAGGCACTCATTTTCTGGCAAGTATCTTCAGACACATGGACTCCGTTTTAATCTGAGACAACTAATTTATTGAATCCCCATTATAAACGAGCACTGTATATACATTACAGTATTTAATCCCAACAACTCTCTGTACTAAATATCATTTTCAAAGGAGAAATGGCCTCAGGGAGGCTGAGTAAACTGTTCAATGTTATTCAGCTAGTAAGTGGTAGAACTGGTATTTGAACTCAAAGCCTATAAGAAAGGAAACTGAATTCTAGAAGTAAAGAAAACATGTCGTGCAGCTCTCAAATTGCAAAGAAAACAAGACATGGACAATGTATAGATATCTGGATAAAAATCTCTCTCTCTCTTTCTCTCTCTCTCAAAACCTAAAGAGTCTGGACTCCAAGTCACTAACTTATAGCATTGGCTAGGGGTCAAAACTTCTTAGAATCAGCAAGAAATATGATGTGGCCTCCAAGGAAGGCTTAGGACTAGTATACCTTAAAAGTCTGAAGGCATCTAAAGGATAAGATCTTTTCTCCACCTCATGCTCCTCAACCATGGCCTGCCTGACTGATAGGACCAAACAAGAACCTGTGACAGAAGTGCTGAAACCAGGAAAAAGTGAGAAAGAAAGATTCATTTTGTTCTTTCTCCATTTTGATGAGGCAAAATTTCACATTACCATGGCTCACTGGGCAATTGGGTTGAGCCAGGCAAGAATAAAACTGGATTTTCATATTCTTTTAAGTGTAGATTAAGAATAACTATATTAGGGCCGGCCGAGTGGCGCGATGGTTAAGAACT